GCGGCTCCCCTCAGCCGCCCATGGTCCCCCGGAGCCCGGCGAGCGAGGGAAAGGGGGGGTTGGGGGGGTGCGCACAAGTCTCCTCCCAGCGAGCGGCGCCTCCCCCTCCGCCCAGGCCACCTCCCACCCTGCGACTGGCTAGCGCCAGCCCCTGGCCCGGCCTTCTCCCCGCGGGACGTACCACTCCGCGCGCCCGGGGAAGGCAACGCGCAGGGAGCAGTCACAGGCAAGCCGAGCCCATCCCCGCCGGTGCGAGTGTTATTGATGTGCAATACCCTGTCCACAAACGGCTGGTATTAAATTAAAAGTGCAAAGGAGGCGGGGGAAGAAGGCAATGCCCCCCCCCCCTTTGGATTTGGTACAGTCCCACCGGGAACAGTCCGGGATCTACCATTACTAAAAGGAGGCACACCCGCAAAGCGGAGCGCCATTTCCCCTGCTTTATAAGAGCCGCGGGCAGAGCCCAATAATATATTAGGGGTATTATGACGCATTAATTAAATCATGAGGCAATCTCCTGAAGGGAGCCCGGTAGCCACATGAAACTAGTCCCCCCGTTTTTACAATGGTACTTTCCTAACTGTCTTCTTTTCAATGGGAAGATCCCCAACCGCCTTCTACCCTTTCTGCCCCTAGGGGCTGTGCCATTATAACCAGCAGTGGGGGAGGCAATGACAAGTTTTTCCTATTTAAGATACCTGGCAGCCAAAGAGAGCAACATTTTCATTCTGTACGTCTATCTCTAGACTATTGAAATACAAAGAGGAGTGTGGGAAAGAGGAAGAAGCCATGTACTGTCAGACTCGATTTCCCCCCACAATCCAGAATGACCTCGCCCACCTATTCTCTCTCCTGGTAGAGAGGGGAGGCGACACCATCAAAAATAGGGGTGTTCACATATATAATAGGACCGGGCAATAGAAACAAAGGGAATGTAAACCAGGGTATATAACTCAACTACACGATGTAATTACAAGTCTGAGAGGGGTGGGGAGGACCGGGGAGTATCCATTCTCCCCGTTCACACAAGAAAGATAATGGTTTGACCCACTGCGAGGAACCTAGACCGGTTAGGCGCTACCACAGAGCAAACCAGGCGGGGGGAGATATGTACATATCTGGACTCCAAAATAACGTTTACAAACGACAAAAAACGAATTTGTATTATTTTCAGACCCCTACTAGCACGTGAACAAAAGGGCTTGGGTGGATGGGGCGTAAAGCACGGTCACCTATAGAGGTTGACAATGGTTTAATCCACAGACACGGCTGTTCGACCGTTGGCCGCTACCATAAACAAAACTGGGGGGAGCAGATTAAAAATAGGCTTCCACCAAAATAAATAGTGTGAAAATGGGCTTAAAGGGGTTTATGTAAATTTTAGCCAGCTGACACCACGAAGAGGAAGAGAAGCGGGGTTAGAATAGGGGAGGCGGGCTCCACAGGGGTTAATAATGGGGTGGCCCACAGACAGGGCCAGCGACCGTTAGACCCTACCATTAACCACGTGGCGGGGATTCCATCAAACTGAGGAAAAGGGGGGTTAGAGAGATGGACTATTCCTACTGAGCCCCTGCACACCCTGCTCTCCCTCCCCACCCTCGCCAGACAGGACACCCCTCCCCCACACCCCATACCCCTCCCCCACTTC